TTGATAATTGCATAGTCGGTAATGGCTTAAATAAACCGTGGGGTTGTAAGTACAAAGGTGTGACAGCAGATTGCGCTCGCTGCACCATTTCTGTTCAAAGTTTTTACGAATTGAATTCTAAAATTTATAGTTTTTTTGTTTTCTAATTTGAAGCAGTGTGTTTTATGAAGATAATTATTTGTAAGGATTATCAAATTAAGTGAACATTTTCAAATAAATAAAACTTTTTTACAATTAGTGTGTTATCAGTAGTAATATTTACAAAAAAATAGTGTAAATTTCTAATATTCTTATAATTGCTACTTTTGAATATATTATTGTTATTTTTAAAGATGCAATTGCTGGTTTATTATATCATAAAATTGTGATACATGTTGGGTGATAAGTTGTGGGACTGTAGTGCATATTGTATGGTTTTAATTCCACCTGGTACGTATTCCAAGTGCAAACGTTATAATTAAGAAAGCAGTGCAACTTATATAATCTTTTCTTATTTTGTAAGGTCTTGGTGAGTGAGTTTGCCCTAGCAAGTATCACGTTTCAAGTCCGGCATTTTCTAGAAAAGAATTAGCGGTTTACCGCGGATAACGGCTAAACATCGCAAGGCATGTTTCTAATAAACGGGGCGCCTGATTTATCGGTAGAGTTAGAAAAAAGCATAGGGTTTAAAATGTAAAGTATAAAGAGGGTTTAAATATATACATATTTACGAAGAAAATATTCTCAAATATTTTGAATAAAAACTGAAGTGCATTCTGTGCTTAAGCTGGTTTTAACATGAATGCATAACAATTTTTATGATATAAGACATAGATAGATTAAAATTGCCGGATGTCTGTAATGATAATAACAGAAAACAACAAGAGGTTAATTTCCTTCCCATATATACCTCTCCGAAGAATGGCCAATTTTTTCTTCTCTTTATTTTCGAAATTGTTCTTTCCGAATGCAATTACTGTATGAGAAACGTTGGTGAATAGTGTCTTTCTTTCGGTCGCAAAATATTTTCTCGGAACAGCATGTGAATAATACGCACACTTCTGAAATACGAGTCACGCTGTTTCAGGCTGACTCACCCGGCGTCGCGTAGTTCTTAGCGTGCCGCATAGAGGCGTGTACATTTAAGCCTGAAGCTTCCTAATTACATAGGTACAATATTCAGCCTACCCTTTGTTCTCCCTCTTTCCGTTTCTCTCTCTTTCTCGTATCTTCGCCATGTTCATTTGTATATGTCCCCTTGATACCATGTGGACATTGTGGTGTGCAACAGGAAAGAAGTATTCCGAGAAGTACATGATTATTGAGGATTTTAATTTTATTTAATTTCACCATCGAATATTCCATTTACTTGTATCCAATATTTACGTACTTGTTGGAATAGATATGGCTACCATTACAATTCTTCTTACTTTCGTAATACTTACGGTTGATTAATTCTTATTTTTCAAATTAAACCAAGAAGGACAATCGTTGGAAGGAAGGAAAAATGGTGAAAGTATCAGAGACGATCGATCATTTCGTACAGGCAATTAAAATGAAACATTCATGTTGAACACACGGCTGAGAACAAGTGGCATCGAATTCTATGTTTCCATTTACGGTCAAGCGACGCAAGGTATTCTTGTGACGAAGAAAATCCGTAAGGAGCGCGATTCAAAGGATAAATATAACCGCTGTCGCTGGCCAGGCAGGAGTTAGCCGAAGGGAGTTGTCTCCGAAGACCGCGTCCGTGACTGTGCTTAAGGACATATGCCCCTCGAGGCCTGTCCGCGCAGTCTCGTAGGCTGCATAAACCGGCTTAAGGCCCCGTGCACACGTGCACGAGGATCATTCTCCCTACGCAGGTTCGCGCTGTGACGCCGTGTCGATCTCCTCTACCGTCAGTGGATTTCACGATTGTGCAGAACACAGCACGCTTCCTTTCGTGTTTCTCCACTTTTTGGAGGTGGCGCCTCCTCGTGTAGCGTGCGTTAGTTTCCCTCCGCTTTTCTGTCGTTCTATCTCTCTTGTTCGTGGACGGTGGTGCGCGCGTACGACAAGGAGAGAAACGGAAGAGGAACACGAGCGGCGTGACCCAGCCTGAC